GGCAGGACTGGGACTTGGGCCTTTCCCTCACGTCCTGCCCTGCAGCCTCCTTCTCTTACCTCCTTAGGTCTCTTTCCACCCAGTAATATGGGGTCCAGTGAGGAAAGACGTGAGAGCCACTTTTGCAGAAAGCAAGCTGGAGGTGTGATTTTAGGGAGACCCCCAATGAGATGGATTGGCCAAGTGGCAGCATCGATGGACTCAAGCGTGGCAACAGTAGTGAGGTTGGCCCAGGATCGGGTGGTGTTTCGTTCTGCAGTGCACAGGGTCCTTAGGAATCAGTACAGATTCCATAGCACCTAACAATAGCAAGTGTTCAGAGAGCCAGGGTGGGGGGGGGGGCAGTAATTCAGAGTCATTTCCTCTAAGCCAGAGGATGCTCCCCCACCAGAGCCACAGTAATCAATTATGCAGAGACCCCCCCCCCTCCATGTCTTCCTGCCTACACTGGGGACCTGGACTCAGAGGGCCCCTGGCCAGTACATGAATCCCATCTTCTGCAGCCCCATCCTTCCCTCAGTCAGCAGGGAATTGAGAGTTGAGCTCCTTGAATATTTCATCAGCACTTCAGCCTCAGTTGAAGAAGCAGCCGACTTACTACTCATGGATAATTTATGGTCCCAGCAAAGAATCTGGAACTATTGAGGGGGGAGAGAAGGGCCAGGGTCCACTGGGCAGGGGTGGGGGTGGGGGATGGCCAGAAGACCAGGCTGTTACTCAAGGGTGCTGGAGAGGGAGCCATCTGGACCCCAAATGTATATGAACTAGGGAAAGCTCCAAGGCAAGGCTATTTCCATGTTCGAGAACACCAATGTATTTCTTTCAAAACAGGGTTCTCAAAGTAATTATGCAAAAGGTTAAAAGTCATTTACAGCATTTTCTGACTTCGGTCCTGTCCTTGTGTGTATGTAGAACTTCATTTGGAGATAACATACAGATATTCCAAGGCAAGGTGCTTATGTTGAGCACCCCCACACCCACTGTCAGCAGAGAGAACAAAACACCTCACTTCAGAGTGACTGAGCCCTGCCCCTTCCCAGCCTCCATCTTCATGAAGGCCACAAGGATTTAGCCAAGGGTCGGGAGAAGGAGGGAACCTGGTTTGGTAGTCCTCACTTTCCTCCAGGAACAGAAACCAGATTCTTCTTCAAAAAGGACAGCTGGAAAGGGTAACCCCAATGGAAAATGTCAAGTTTGCCCTCTTCTTTGAAAGTGACCTTCCTGATTGAGTTGTCGCACTGAGTCAAACAAAGGACCAAGTATGTGGGGAGGATGGGTAAAAAAGCAGGCATATCTGACACCTAACCTCAGTTTCCCCACTTGAGTCATGGTATGAGAGGCACTCCCACCCCAAGGGCTGTTTGGGGGACTGAAGAGCTGCCATCCGGGCATCCAGGCGCCAACTGGGACCCAGGCGGGTGGTGATTATGGGGTGATGTGTCCACAGGTTGGGCCTCGACTTCAGGCTGGGGCTGGGTCAGGTGGGCCACTCTGATCTAATCCTTGTGTCATTTTGGAGCTTGATTATGGGAAGAGAGGGCTGTGCCAGCTAGCTGAGGGTAAGCCCTGGCCTTAAGGGACCAACCTAGCTTCTCTGGGCCTCAGTTTCTCCATCCATGAAATTGGGGCCATCTGCCAGGCCCAGAGTGGGGAAGCCGTGGGGCCTTAGGCTCTGAGGCCCAGTACCAGGTGGACATACCTTTCTGATACACGGAAAAATGGCCATTCTTTGCCCCTAGGGGGGATTCTACTCTCTTAAGAGACAGGGAGCACCAGGGAAAGACTTCAAGAACTATTTCCCAAACCTAAAGAGGGCATTTCTTCCCTCAGAATTTATTGGAATTCTTTGGGAGCCTATGGGACTTCCCCTGGCCACCCCCTCTTAGGACTCAGGGAGGGGCTGCACTGAATGACCCCAGCAAATCTCAGACTTCCTAACATCCGGCCCCATCCTAGGTTACTAACAATGGGGGGGAAGGGCTCTGGAATCAGGCCTAAGAGAGGGTGCAAGGCTCCCCCACTCCCCACCCACTCTTCCTTCCTTCCTCCCTTCTCAAACTCCTCCTCTCCTTCAGTGGCCTATGGGCTGGGGGCTTTGTCTCCACACCAGCCCCCACCTTCCTCTCCTGGGTCTCAGCCCATAACCTAGAGACAAGGAATGTTCTCTCTCCCTTCTGTGAGCAGCAGCAACTTGGAGAGAAAAGGTTCAAACTCTGCTCAGTTACCAACTGCCTGGAGGAACTGTGAACAAGGTGTTTATTCCTGACTCCCCTGTAACCTGGGAACAGCTCTCTGGGTTATATATAATGTACACTGTCATGTACGTTACAGATCACTTATCAAGTGCCTGGCACCTAGTAGGTACTCAATCCATGTAGTAGGAATGCTTTCCCTCTTGTGGGGTCTTTCTGGGTCTGGAGGCTGCTGTGGAATTACTCTGAGTCTAGCCATACTGTGTGAGGTCTGTCCCCAGGGCCCTTTTGGTCATCTCTAACCGTCCAGCCATTCTACAGATGCTGAGGAGTTGCTGGGCGGGCTGGGTAAGGAGGTGGACCAGGACAAAGAGATGGGGAGGAGGTGAGGGCGGCAGGGCTGGGTGGGGTTGAAAGATTGAGCTGGAGGGCCCCAGAGGGCCCACGCCGGGACTCCGTCTCACCGGTTTGGGGAGCTGGCTGGGCAGTGGCGAGACGCTGGCAGCTCCATGGGAAAGAAGAGCTGAGTAAGACATGCCTGACTGGGAGGGGCCAGCTCCAAACCTGCATGGGGGCAGGGTGCCTAGAGACACCCCCTCCCTCTCTCACACTCAGCTGTACATCAGTCAAGGCACTGGCTTCAGCACCCCCAGTTCTCCCCATCACTGGTGGTGGCTGTTGTCAAAGGCCGTGGAGTTGGTTCTGACTTATAGTGACCCTGTGCAGGGTTTCTGAGGAGTGGCTGATTTGAACCACCAACCTTGAGGTCAGCAGTCGTGTTTATGCTATGGCGTCGCCACACCAGGCCTTCCAGCTGATTCCCAGCGACACTTATCTAACATAGCCTTAGACATTACCCATCATACCATTTCTTGTTTACTGCCTGTCTCCGCACTGAAGGGTAAATCCCAAGAGCTAGATCTGCCTTGCTCACTACTATATGCCAAGCGCATGGTTTATTGCTATGTGCTGTCAAGTCGGTTCTCAATCATAGCAACCCTGTATAGGGTTTCTGAGACTGTACATCTTTGTGGGAGCAGAAAGCCTCATCTTTCTCCTGCAGAGCAGCTGGTGGCCTTGAACCAGTGACCTTGTTTGTGGTTCCCAATCCAGTGCTTATCTTACAGAACCACTGCTCTCCACAGCACATAGTAGTGTTCATAAATCTATGCTGAGTGAATGAATGGGCCCAAGAGAAACGGATTCCTGAGTGCACACATACTCACACATACTCATGCACACGCAGACTCCTGGACAGACCCACTCAGTCACCCACGAGCCTGCCACACTTAGTCCCGTCACAGGCACATCCTCACACCCGGAGTGACACTCTCCCGCCCCCCAGACCTCCTTGCTCTCCATGTGTGCCCGAGCACATGAACAAAGTTTCAGATCCACACCCAGCCATCCAGATTCCGAAGTTCATGCTCACACCAAGCACTGGTCTGCACAGACACGCTCAAGCACATCCCTGCTCCCCACCCTCTGCGGTGCCAACCCAGGCTGCAGCCCCTCCCAGAAACAGGGGCAGGGCCCCCAGAAGCTGACAACACAGCAGCTTGAATGGGGCAGGGTGGGGCAGGGTCCCTCAGCCTGACCACTTGGGGACCTGGGAAATTCTGGGAGACGCCCCTGGGACCCAGGAAGGAGGGAGTTAGGTCATTAGCGCTCACGCTCACAACCGGGGCCCAGCCCTGCTCCAGACCCTCTCTGGCCTCTTGAGTCCTCATCTGGACCAAGGCCCAGGGCAAGGAGTCCTGGACACAGAGGTAGGCGGGGCACAGGCCAATTACCTGGCACATCTGGGGGAGGGCCAGGGTGTAGATGGTGAGAACTCAGCTTTTGGGCTTCAACTCACCCTCCAGAGGAAGAAAAGCTGCTTCAGCCTCCTGGGAGAACTGTGGGGAATGGGAGTGGGAATGCCCTGGCTCAGAGAAGCCCTCGTGCCCCCACCTCCCAGATGTAAAGGAGAAGGAGGTACTGGTAGCAAACAGTGGGCACCACCCACACTCTGGACTCTGCCCCCTGGAGCCAATGCAGATTGGGCAAGAGAGGGGTCTTGCCACGTCCTACTGCTCCCAAAGAGGTAATCAAAGCCTATCGATTCCCCCATTCAGAGTTCGGGCTCCTCTGACCACTGGGACAGGCTCAAGCCCCAATTCTGAATGACAGAGGGAAGGACAGGGCCCACCCAAGACATGCCTGCCCTGGCCCTTTGGAAGCCTGGTCAGCTTAGCACCCTGGAAATAAATGCCAATGGCTCCTCTCCAAACCTCACTCCCTGGGGAAGCAACGCTGATCTAGGAAAAGTCACCATCTTCCTGACTCCTCACGCCCCCTGGTGGGGATCTGCCATTGCGCTCAAACACATACAGTCTACAGAGAACCACAGGACCCAATCTGGATCCTGTACCTGATACATCAGGAGACATGGGTGCAGAAGGAGGGGGGCCATGCAGGTCCACGGCTCAGTCCTGGAAGACTGTACCCTAAGTTCTGTGATTCATTCAACCACACAAATTTATTGAGCACCGGCTACCAGGGCAACAGGAACCACTGGACTTCTGGTCTAGTGCTCTTCCCCAGCCCCAGCGACCTCTCTGGGTGTCTGTGCACAGGAGCTGGAACCCTGTCCACCAGGAAACTGTCCAGGCGGGGCAAACAGGCAGATGGCCTCCCTCGGCCTCAGCCTACAGCTGGTCTGGAGCAGCAGTACCATCCTGTAGTCCAGACACAAGGAGGCAGGATAGGGCCCGGGGCGGCTGCCCTCACAGGTGGACTAGGGCAGGCGCCGTTCAGCTGTGTCCATTTAAAAATAAATAGTTCCTGCTGCTGCCCAGGCTGGAGGAGGGCTAGCACCGTTGGGCCCCAGCTTCCCAAGCTCTTGAGTGGTGCAGGTTGGACCCCTTCTCACACCAGCTCAGGTTCTAGCTCTGAAAAGGAGAGGGCACTGAGATGAATCCCCAGCCATTCCCAACATCTATCAGGATGCTATATAGGGGGTGTGGGACAGGCAGGAGGGAGGCTCTCCAGCAACTGGTCTATGCTGGTCCCAGCTTCATAAAGGATGCTCCCCGGCCCCCAAGCAGAACAGTGGTCAGTGCTTTCCCCCCACCAGCCCCAGTGACCCCAGGACTATCTCTGCAGCCCCAGCCTCCAGCCCCAACCACATCCTCCAGCGGGACAGCAGCCACTCACCGGCCTCAGCCTCATCGCCCTTGGCATCTGGCTCCTGCCACCAGTCAGCATAGATAGCCTCCTCATAGTCCCCCTCCCCCTCAAACTCGGTATCGGATGGGGGGTCCTCAGGCTCCCTGGGTGATTCTGCTTCCTCCAGCTCCATCTAGAACAGCCCCAGGGTGGGAAGAAACCGGGCTATAGCAAAGCCAGCACTCCTCCCTTCTTGGTGAAGGGGACCCCCAGTCTCATCTCTCTGGGTCCAGATCTACCATAGTGTTAAGACCTAACACAACCCCTGCCCCCAAAGTGTGGCTCTCATCCCCCAGCAATTTCAGTGTCCTCTCCTCAGCCTCCATCTTTGACATGAAGGTTCTGGATGTTTTCCCTACTGCCCTGTGCCTGGATAGCCCAGCCCGTGCATAGCCCCTCAAAGCTAGGAGTCAGCTCCGAAAAGACCCTCACTGAGGACCCCAACTGGCCTTTGGGTCCTCCTTTGCTATTTGACTTTCTGCCTCCCCCACTAGACCATGAGCTGTTGGTAAAGTTTCATCAGCTTACCCCAGCACCAAGCACAGTGTTAGACAAACAACAAGCAATAAATCAAGTAGTAATCTAAATGGCCACCACTTGTCTGTCAGTTTGTGGCACTGTGGTGTCTCATGTGTTGCTGTGATGCTGGAAGCTATGTCACCAGTATTTTAAACAGCAGCAGGGTCACCCATGGTGGACAGGTTTCAACCAAGCTTCCAGACTAAGATAGTCTTGGAAGAAGGAGAGGCAAGTTACTTCTGAATGTTTACTCATTGAAAACCTTATAAGTATCAGCAGAACATTGTAAGATACGGGGACAGAAGATGAGCCCCTCAGGTTGGAAGGTACTCAAAACACACTCAAAATGTAACTGGGGAGGAGCTGCCTCCTCAAAGTAGAGTTGACCATTATAAAGCAAATAAAGCTTTCTGGACCTTCATTTGCTGATGGGGAACAACTCAAAATGAGGAGAAACAGCTGCAAGCACCCATTAAAAATTAGAACACGGGAAAAAAATTAGAACACAGAATGTACAAAGTATGAATCTAGCAAAATTGGAAGTTGTCAAAAATGAAATGGAATGCATAAAGGTCGGTGTCCTAGGACTCAGAGAGCTAAAATGGACTGGCATTAGCCATTCTGAATCTGACAAATCACATGATTTACTATGCTGGGAATTAATTGAGAGGAATGGCATCACACTTATCACCAAAAAGAACATTTCAAGATATAAATTGAAGTACAGTGCTGTCTATGAGAGGATAAAATCCATATGCCTAAAAGGAAAACCAGTTGTTAATACAGCTATTATTCAAACTTACACACCACCCACAAAGACAGTGATGATGAATTCTACCAACTGAAGAATTCTACCAACTTCTTCAGCCTAAATTGATCAAACATGCAATAAAGATGTATTGATAATTACTGGCGATTGGAGAATGCAAAGGTTGGAAGCAAAGATGATGAATCAGCAGTTGGAAAGTATGTCTTTGGTAATAGAAATGATGCTGGAGATCGCATGATAAAATTTTGCAAGACCAATAACTTATTCATTGCAAATACCTTTTTAAAACAACATAAAAGATAACTATACACATTGACCTCACCAGGTAGAATACACAGAAATTAAATTGACTACATCTGTGGGAAGAGATGGTGGAAATGCTCCACATCATCAGCCAAAACAAGGCCAGGGGCAGACTGTGGAATAGATCATCAACCGCTCATATGCAAGTTCAGGCTGAAGCTGAAGAAAATTAAAACAAGTCCACAAGAGCCAAAATTTGACATTGGACACATCCCACCTGAATTTGCAGACCATCTCAAGAACAGATTTGATACATTAGACACTAATGACCAAAACCCAGAAGAGCAGTGGGATGCCATCAGAACCCCATACAGGAAGAAAGCAAAAGGTCATTAAGAAGACAAAGAAAGAAAAGACCAAAATGGATGTCACAGGAGACTCAGAAACTTGTTCTCCATCATAGACATGCTAAAGCAAATGGGAGAAATAAGGAGATAAAAGAGCTGAACAGAAAATTTCTAAAGGTAGCTTGAGAAGACAGTCAAGTATGTAATGAAATGTGCAAACACCTAGAGTTGGAAAATCAAAAGGAAAGAATGCACTCAGCATTTCTCAAGCTGAAAGAACTGAAGAAAAAATTCAATCCCCAGTTTGCAATACTGAAGGATTCTATGGGCAAATATTGAACGATGCAGAAAGCATAAAAGAAGATGGAAGGAATATACAGTCACTATATCAGGGAGTCCTCGTGTGGCACTGTGCACTAATGAGTCAGACTGCAAAGTCGTTTGAACTTCAAGGTCGGTGATTCAAGCTCACCAGCTGCTCCTTGGAAACCCTATACAGGGTCGCTATGGGTTGAAATTGACTGGACAGCACTTAACAACAACAACCTACCAAAAAGAAATGGTTGGTGTATAACTATTTCAAGATGATTAAGAGCCAATAGTCCTGAAGGAAGACGTCCAGTGCACTGAAGGCACTGACAAACAACAAGGCTCTGGGAATTGAAGGACTAGAAATTGAAATCTTTCAACAAACTGATGTGGTACTGGAGGCACTCACTCATATATGCCAAGAAATTTTGAGACAGCTACCTGGCCAGCTGATTGGAAAAAAAAAATCCTTATTTGTCCCCATTCCAAAGAAAGGTAACCCAACAGAATGCGGAATCATCAAACTATCATTAACATTACAAGCATGTAAAAATTTTCTAAAGATAATTCAAAAACAGCTGCAAAACTACATCAACAGGAAACTGCCAGAGGTTCAAGTTAAATTCAGACAAAGATGTTTAATGAAGGGTATCATTGTTGATGTCAGATGGATCTCGGTTGAAAGCAGAGAATACCAGAAAAATATTTTGTTGTTGTTATTGTTAAGTGTCATCGAGTAGGTTCTGACTCATAGTAAACCTGTATAGGGTTTCCAAGAAGTGCCTGGAGAGCTTGAACTACCAACCTTGTGGTTCAAACCAACCTTGCAGTCCAGCGTATTAACCCACAGCGCCACACCAGGACAAAGATGTTTACCTGTGTTTTAGTGACTATGCAAAAGCTTTTGACTGTGTAGATCATGACAAACTATTGATAACATTGTGAAGAATGGGTTTTCCGGAACACTTAATTGGGCTCATTTGAACAGAATAAGAGGTAATAGAATGGTTTAAAATCAGGAGAGATGTGCACCAGGGTTGTATTCTTTCACCATACTTATTCAATCTGTATGCTGAGCAATAGAATGTGAGTGGAGGAAGACTCATTAACAACCTGCAATATGCAGATGACACAACCTTGCTTGCTAGAAGTGAAGAAGACTTAAAATACCTACTGATGAAGATCAAAGACCATAGCCTATACCTCAATGTAAAGAATGAAAACACCTCACAACGGGACCAAAAAATAGCATCATGATAAATGGAGAAAAGAATGAAGTAGTCAAAGATTACATTTTTACTTGGATTTACTATCCATTCACAGAAGCAGCAGTCAAGAAATCAAATGAAATCTAATGAAAGGGAATCCTAAGAAGGTGCATTTCTGTACCAGAGCTGGATCATACCACCCTTTGGGCCCTCTGCTGGAAAAGTAGAATCAAGTCTCAAATAATGCCTTCTTAATTGTATCCTCTCTGGTAGTGTAGTGGTTACGAATTGGGCTGCAAACCGCAAAGTCAGCAGTTTGAAACTACCAGCTGTTCCGTGGGAGAAAAATGAGGCTTTCTGCTCCTGTAAAGATGTACAGCCTCGGAAACCCTGTACAGGGTCACTATGAGTCTGAGTCGCGTCACATAATAACAACAAGCATTTTAGATGTAGGACCATATGGTAGCATCGCTCTGTGAATGTAAAATACCTCGTACCTGTACCTGCTTCATGATATGTAATAGTGACTGTGCCATATCAGAGCTGGGGGTTTTTTTGTTTGTTTTGTTTTTAAATGAAACTATTTTAGTCAAAGTCAACAAGAACCTTCTGGGTTTTACATCCAAAAGACTTATCTCAGTTCTTGTATTTTGACTTCTTTGCAGCATTAGTAATTTGTGACCAATTGTACTCTTATGAACACAGTCTCTTCCCTGAATGGTTTTCCTTGTTTCCCTCCCTCCCCTTCCCTGGCTGTTCCTCCTTTGCAGCTTCTACTTTCTTTGTCTGGCCCTTTAATACTGGTTTCCCTGAGGGCTCTGTTCCCATCCAGTCTACACATTCTCCTTGGATGACCTTATCTACACCCATTACCTCCACTTTACTTATTATTTATAAAAGTATATTTCCAGATTTTATCCCTAGTTTCAGATTTATGTCTCTTGAAATTCTATAGGCCTTTTTTTTTTTTTACATTCAACAAATCATATACTTTGTTTCATTACAATGATGGTTTATAAAGCAGACCATCAGTTTTATATTCAAC